TTAAAAATAGTGTCGTGTGTGTAAAAGCTAGAATAGGCTCGACGAGCTCTCGAGCCAAGTATTTTAAAACTCGTGCTCGACTCGTCTATTTAACCGAATGACTCGAATTCGACTCGAGTTCGATTTTGACCGAGTTTGAACCAAGCTTTGACCGAGCTACTCAAGAGTTGCTCGCGAATTGCTCGGTTCGTTGACAGCCCTAGGCATTTCCAGAAGCAAATGCTATAAATACTCATGGACCCAAATCATATAATAACCGTGGGCGAGGGCGAGGCCGTGGCCGTGGCCGTGGTCATGGACATGGCTATGATCATGGTCGAGGTCAAGAAAACAATAAAAATTTTGTTCATTTTAATGAGAATAATAATCTGAGCCAGCAAAGCAAAAAGCAAAAAGTGGCTAAACAAGAAAAACCACAGAAAATGGTTGATGATTCCTGCTTCCGTTGTGGTGGCACTAATCACTGGGCACGAGTCTGTCGTACGACACCACATTTGGTTGAATTGTATCAAGCATAAAAGGAAAGGGAAAAGAAAAGGAAGTTAATCTCAATGAGCTTTGTGATAATGAGAATGGGGAAATACATTTGAATGCTTTTGATTTCACTAGTGATTATGCTGATAATTGAGACATAAGTGGCTATATGTTTTTGAATTGTTGTATTTTTGTTGATGAAAATAAATGTAATTGTAAGATATGTTTGAAGTTGTATTATCGTATTGGATTGTAATGAATTTATGTAAAATATTCATGTTTGATGTTTTTCCTTATGATACTTGTTGATTATTTATTTTTTGTTTTTGAAGTCTTGAAATGGATCATAGTGGAACTCAACTTAAAATCGGCTTTGGTGATTTTTGTATATCTGACAGTGGCACTACACATACTATCTTGAAAAACAGAAAGTATTTCACTGAATTTAAACTAATAAAGGCAATTGTGTATACAATATTAGGTCCTGTAGACATGATTGAAGGAATTGGCAAAGCCAAAATTACATTGCCCCAGGGAACAAAATTTGTGATCGATGAAGCTTTGTTCTCACCAAATTCTAAAAGAAATTTGTTGAGTTTTGATGATATATACCGAAATGGGTATGATACGCAATCTATGACAATAGATGGTGTTAAATATTTGAAAATTATTAGATATGAGTCTGGAAAGATTCAAACACTTAAAAGGTTACCGCTCTCTAGTGGTTTGCATTATACATACATTGAATCAAACATTACAATGAAACCAAAATCCTTTGATCATTCAATGTTAAATTTATGGCACGAAAGGCTGGGCCATCCGGGTTCAATAATGATGCGAAGGATAGTTGAAAACACTCATGGACATCCGTTAAAGGGACAAAGAATCCCTCAAAGTAATGAATTATCATGTACAGCTTGTTCTCTTCGAAAATTGATATTGAGACCTTCATCGCTAAAAATCCAAAATGAATCACCTATGTTTCTTGAAAGAATTCAAGGTGATATATGTGGACTAATACATCCACTAAGTGGACCATTCAGATATTTCTTGGTTCTAATAGACACATCCAGCAGATGGTCTCATATATATTTATTGTCAACCCGGAATGTTGCATTTGCAAGATTTTTAATTCAAATCATAAAACTACGAGCTCAATTTCCTGACTATACAATAAAAAGGGTTAGACTTGATAATGCTGGTGAATTTACGTCTCAATGATCTAATGATTATTGTATGTCTACTGGAATCATTGTTGAGCATCCTGTTGCTCATGTACATACACAAAATGGTTTAGCAGGATCATTGATTAAAAGACTGCAACTTATTACTAGACCATTAATTATGAGAACAAAGCTACATGTTTCTATTTGGGGCCATGCAATATTACATGTTGCTTCACTAATAAGAATAAGACCTAGTGCGGATCATACATACTTCCCACTTCAATTGGCACTTGGATTTGAACCAAATATTTCACACCTAAGAGTTTTTGGTTGTGCAGTATATGTACCTATTGCGCCGCCGCAACGCACAAAAATGGGTCCCCAAAGAAGATTGGGAATATATGTTGGGTTCAAATCACCCAGCATAATTAAATATGTTGAACCTTTAACAGGTGATTTTTTACAGCATGTTTTGCCAATTTAATGAGGTTATTTTCTCAAAATTAGGGGGAGAAAGAAAAGAAGTAGTAAATGATATCGCATGGAATGAACCATCACTATTGTATCTTGATCCTTGAATAAAACAATGTGAAACAAAAGTGCAAGAGATTGTGCACTTACAAGTAATTGCAAATCAATTGCCAGATGCTTTTACAGATACTAAAAGTGTCACTAAATCGCATATACCAGCAGTAAATGCTCTTGCTCGTATTGAAATTTCATAAATAAAGTTTGAGGATAAAGTCTCTCAAGAGTCGTCTAAAACGTGGAAAACCGATTGGTTCAAAGAATAAAAATCTCCAAATAAGAAAGAGATCAGAAAATAATGTCAATGAAAATGTTCCCAAAGAACCAAAAGCCAAAGAAGATTCTCCTGGCGAAAACACTGAAAAGGTGAATGAAGAAATCTCAATCAATGATAACAGTACAAAAATGCTGTAGAATAGAGATGAAATTGAATATAATGATGAGATTTTCTCTTATACTGTTGCATGTGAAATTATGAACGGAAGTGATGATTCTGAACCAAAATAAGTTCAAGAATGTCAAAATAGACATGATTGGCTAAAGTGGAAAGACGCTATGCAAGCTGAATTAGATTCGCTTAATAAGCGAAATGTTTTTGGATCCATTATTCTCATACCTAAAGATATAAAGCCTATTGGATATAAATGGATTTTTGTACGAAAACGAAATGAGAAGAATGAAATCACCAGATACAAGGCTAGACTCGTAGCTCAAGGTTTTTTCACAAAGACCTGGAATTGACTATGATGAAACATATTCTCCTGTTATGGATACAATTACGTTCAGATTCTTAATCAGCTTAGCAGTTTCTGAAAAATTACAAATGCGTCTCATGGATGTTGTGACTGCTTATTTGTATGGATCACTTGATAGTGATATTTCTATGAAAATCCTTGAAGGATTTAAGATGCCTAAAGCTTCAAGTTCAAAATACAAAGAAATGTATTCAATTAAACTGCAAAGATCATTGTATGGGTTAAAACAGTCTGGACGCATGTGGTATAATCGTTTAAGTGATTATCTGATAAATAAGGGATATACCAATAATGCTATTTGTCCATCCATTTTTATTAGAAAAACAACATCTGGATTTGTTATTATAGATGTCTATGTTGATGACTTGAATATATTTAGAACACATAAAGAAATTGATAATGTGGTTGCATACTTAAAGAAAGAATTTGAAATGAAAGATCTTGGAAAAACTAAGTATTGTCTTGATTTACAAATTGAACATACACACAGAAAAGATCTTAAAACGCTTTAACATGGATAAAACAAATTCTTTAAGTACTCCAATGGTTGTCAGGACACTTAATGACGAAAAGGATTCATTTCGTCTTGTTAAAGATGATGAAGAGATTTTTGGTGAGTGCAATTGGTGCTCTTATGTATCTTGCTAATTGTACCAGACTTGATATTTCTTTTGCAGTCAATTTGTTAGCAAGACACAACTCATCCCCTAACAAAAGACACTGGAATGGAATCAAGCATATATTTCGTTATCTTCAAGGAAGTATTGATTTGGGTTTATTTTACTCTAATGACTCGAAACGAGAGTTAATTGACTATGCAGATGCAGGTTATTTATCTGATCCTCATCATGGAAAATCTCAGACCGGATATGTGTTTACATATAGAGAAACTGCAATTTCTTGGCTTTCCCAGAAATAAGTAATAGTATCTACTTCTTCAAATCATGCCGAAATTATTGCATTGCACGAAGCGAGTAGAGAATCTGTATGGCTCAAATCAATGACATAACACATCAAGACTTCTTGTGGTCTTCGAGTTGAGAAAATTCTAAATATTTTATATGAAGATAATGCAGCTTGTATTCACCAATTGGAAGAAGGATATATCAAGAATGATCAGCCAAAACATATCCCTCCGAAATTCTTCGCATATACCAAAGAGCTCATCAAGAATAATGAAATTGATGTTCAATATATCATATCTAGTGAAAACTCAGCTGATCTCTTCACAAAGTCACTTCCTACCGCACTTTTCAGAAAACATGTTCATAACATCGGAATGCGTCATTTACACAACATGTGAAGAATTACAGATGTTATCATCAGGGGGAGACAATTACGCGCTGCACTCTTTTTCCCTTCGCTAAATTTTTTTTTCCCACTGGATTTTTATCTTAGCAAGGTGTTTAATAAGACAGTGTTATAGGCGTAATTTATTTGGTCATTCAAGGGGGAGGGGTGTTGTAAATAAATGAATGACCAAAAATCAAAAAGTGCAACCAATAAATTGGGTACATTAATTGCACAGAGGGAAAAATGAGGCCAATTGTCTACCAAAGTTTCCCTATATATACTCAAGTTTATGAAGTAAAAAAAAATGCACCAAATGAATCATTTTCTTCCTCCTGCTTCTTTTGGTTCAAAGAGTAAAAATTACTCTAATTTTATTTTCTTCTTATATCTTATAATCTCATAATATATAAATTATTAGAAAGCTATTATAATAAAGTCTCTAGTAGAGAAGTTATAATTATCATATCTAATTAAATAATAAGTACCTTTGTTTTGGATTATTATATTTAGACCCTAGTTTTATAACATCATATAGATTTTGTTTTAGGGCAAACTCGTCAAGAACACCACTCTTTCTCTACTTTCATTCTTTCACTATTCATTATATTATTTCGTATTAGCAAGTTATTCAAAACGTATTCTTTTTGTTTTAAAATAATAATTCCTAATGTTATTATTTGTGTACGAGAATAAGAATTACAAAGCGATTATTTTGGACGGGAAGAAGACATGAGTTTTTTTTTTTTACTTTCTGCACTATCAAACAAAGGCTGAAGGGGACCGTCACCATATTAACTCTCTTAACAAACATACAAAATACAGAACACCATGTGAGCAGTGAGCTAGCTGTTTTCTACATTTTTCACACTATCAGAAGATCTAAAACTACAGAATCTACAAAAATTTCATGCAAAAATTGTCCACGCCTCACCTCATTGAACCACCCATTCTGATTCTGATTGAAATTCCTGCTGCCATTTTTCAAACCCTCACCACAATTTCATCAAAACTCCTCACTCACTCAAGTGGACTCTGTCTTGTGGACCTATAAGAACAGTGTCCTCCTCTCATCCCAAAATCATTAGTATCTGGAATCTCCTTTCATTCTTTTTTCACGGGATGTTGCAGATTAGCACCATTATTATATTCAGAACTAATTTGTGGGCTGTGAGACAATTATCCCTTCATTGTGCTGGATTTTCTTTCTTCCTTTGCTTTTTTATTTCTACTGTCCCCTTTTCATCTTTTTTGCTTCCTCTTTTCCGCCATTATATTCCCCACCACTGCAACCAGCATTATTACTCTTTATTTAAAGATTAATCTTCATAAACCCATCTTAAGAGGGCTAAAGAAAATTGGGTTTGGCTGAAGCTGAAAAAAGGAGGAAGAAATGGGAAGATTTAGGACTAAAAAACCACCATTTTCCTCTGTTTTTCTGCTTTTGCTTTACTTTTCGTGTATCTTGCGTTGCATTGGACAAGAAGAACAGCAGCAGAATCAGAATCCCATAAAGACAGTGGTTGTGTTAGTGTTGGAGAACAGATCCTTTGACCATATGCTTGGATGGATGAAGAATTCGATTAATTCGGGAATCGATGGAGTCACAGGAGATGAATGCAACCCACTTTCCACTGAGGCAAAAAATGCTCAAAGAATCTGTTTTTCTGATGATGCTGAGTTTGTTGATCCTGATCCTGGTCATTCCTTTGAAGAGGTGTTCCAACAGGTATTCGGCTCCTCTGGTTCGATTCCTTCAATGACTGGCTTTGTTGAACAGGCATTAAATGTGTCAAAGGATCTTTCTGAAACAGTAATGAAAGGATTTAAGCCCGAAAGTTTGCCTGTTTATGCCTCATTAGTCCGTGAATACGCTGTGTTTGATAAATGGTTCTCATCAATTCCTGGTCCAACCCAACCCAATAGGCTGTTTGTGTACTCTGCTACTTCTCATGGTTCAACTAGCCATGTGATTAGCCAGTTGGCTAGAGGATACCCTCAACAGACTATATTTGATTCAATTCATGACAATGGGTTAGATTTTGGCATATATTTTCAAAGCGTTCCAACAACATTTTTCTTCAGGAATTTGAGGAAGTTGAAGTATGTATTCAACTACCATCTTTACGATCTGAAGTTTAAGAGTGATGCTAGGAATGGGAAGTTACCAAATTTGACTGTGATTGAGCCCAGATACTTTGATTTAAAGGGATATCCTGGAAATGATGACCATCCTTCGCATGATGTTGCTAATGGACAGAAGCTTGTGAAAGAGGTTTATGAGACGTTGAGAGCAAGTCCTCAGTGGAATGAGACTCTTTTGATTATAACTTATGATGAACATGGTGGTTTTTATGATCATGTCCTGACTCCTTATGTAAATGTTCCCAACCCTGATGGAATTACAGGACCAGCACCTTATTTCTTCAATTTTGACAGACTTGGCGTACGCGTTCCCACGGTTATGGTTTCTCCTTGGATTAAGAAAGGAACTGGTGAGCTGTGATAAATGCTTTCTTTTTTATGGCTCTATTTTCTTTGATAGCATGAAAATGATATCTTCTTCTTGCTAATTTCACTCAGTTGTTTTATACTTTTCGAAAGGAAATGTAATAATGTGAAATTACAACGACAACAGATATAGGATCAGAAGCTAGATTACTAGTTTACATTATGACCTGTGATGATTTTATATGTGTATTATGCTTAACTTAGTGCATAGGAGGCAAGGAATGGTCTTACAGTTTCGGAAAGGCAATTTCATAATGAAGTTTAAGGAAGCTGGTAATAAGTTTGTTAAACTAAGGAACAATGGAACAATATTCCTGAACTTGCTTTTATGTCATTCAAGAACTTACAGAGAAGATTATAATTTCCTTATCATTTTGAGTCAGGACAAGATTTTGTTCTTGATGTGTGTTGTTCTGTTGGCAGTAATAAGTAGGCCAAATGGACCTACTCCAGATTCTGAGTTTGAACACTCTTCTATTCCTGCTACCATAAAGAAGATTTTCAATCTCTCCTCAAACTATTTGACGCATAGAGACTCTTGGGCTGGCACTTTTGAACAGGTTGTTGGGGAATTGACTTCTCCAAGAACTGACTGTCCTGGTAAGCACTACTACATACTTCAGATCATAAATTTGCCTGAAGTTCAGATCCACCAATGATTTAGGATTGAACTAATTGAATGTATTAAACAAAAAGAATGCAACAAAATTTGAATAAATGTTTATTCCAAGATAACAGCGCTGTGATCGCCTTTCATCCCTAATACGCTTTCAACGTGCATTCATATAGGACTGGATCGCGCTTACCATGTTTTCGTTTTTTGTAATGATGCAGAGGTCCTCCCTGATGTTGCTCCCTTGAGAAGCACGGGCGCAGATGAAAACAAAGGGTTGTCACAGTTTCAGGGAGAGCTCGTGCAATTGGCTGCTGTCCTGAATGGAGACCATTACCTCAGTAGCTTCTCTGAGGAAATGGGAAAGAAGATGAATGTAAGAGAAGCTCATGAGTATGTAAAGGGCGCTGTGTCAAGATTCATTAGAGCTAGCAAAGAAGCATTTAAACTTGGAGCAGATAAATCTGCCATTGTGGATATGAGATCCTCTCTCACTACTAGAACATCCAACAAGAATTGATCAAATCACTTACTATCATGTGTTATGTGTAGGACATCCCATATTTCTTCTTGCTATGGAATTTATAATAGTGCAAGATTTAATTAGTAGTCAAATTTTGCCGTTTACCTTCATTAGTTAAATAATCCTACACCCGCCTCAAAAAAAAAAAGTTCACATTAAGTTTTCAAATTTATATTAAAAGCAGTAAAAAATTTAAAATTCATTGTGGACTATTTTTTTTTGAAACGAAAAAAGTATATTTAATGTCATCCACGATCTGAATATAGACCTGATAAAAATGTATAGCTGATTATAAAACTTGCATACTGAGACTTTCCTTAAATAGAAGAATAGTGACCTTGTTTTTAGAGCAATAGGAAGCACTTTTTTTTTTTGGAAAATTCTTATTAAGTGCGTCACAACTTTCATAATTTCATATAAGGATGTGATATTTTTAAAATTCCTAATAAGGGTATAACTAATGCTCTGATACACTAAACATACGTTCTTGACATCTCTACCCTTTTGTGCACTAATTAATGATATATTTTGTTTATGTCCTTGATAAATATTATGCTTTTTATATTGGATTTTTTTATAAATCTTTTGTTTTAATAAATCTACCGAACTCAATAGTACAATTTATATCACTTTAATTTGATATACAAGATTTGCTGCAATTTAGATCCAGCACTCTCAGAAAAAAAAAAAAAACTCCAATCACAAACTAATTGGGTGGATTTTGAAAACAAAGACGCCAAATATACTTACTTTTCAATTTCATGCCTTACAATTTTATTCTATATTTATGTAAGTGTTTCCTGCGGCTTGATTATGCATTCCATGCGAATTCTATGAATTCTTTTTTTTTTTAAAAAAAAAATTATGTTTGTAATTGTTAGGATGAAAAGATCAATTTTTATTTTAAATTATGTTCATCATCTGTAGAAATTGTAATGATTAGATGGGTTAGCTCTTTATAAAGAGATACAGCTTATTCACTTTTAAGAATGTCATGAAATGAAAATTTTAAAAATTTAAGTTTCTGGTATTCGATATTTTTTTAAATTCATGGCGTTTTAAGGAGAGTTCTATGGGTGTTTCATTTCAAATGAGAATTAATAAAATATCCTTCCTTCTAAAAGTATGGTGAGAAAATATAATGTGAGTTATTAATAGAATGGTAGAAATGTCATCAAAGTGCATTTAGTGCATTAAGCATTCATTACTCCCTTGACAGGAATTTTTAAAAATTCAGCCCTTATTTAGAATAATAAAAATTGCAACGCCCTTAATAAGAATTTTCCTTTTTTCTGTATGATATCTATTGAACTATTTTAGTATAGAAATTAGGATAATCATTTTAGAATAAAAAAGTATGAATCCAACAATCTCTATACGCTTCATAAAACTCGTATCCTTCACATGTCAAACAAAAACAAAGAATGATACATATCAAATTATCAATGCATTTCAGGGTAATTTTTGAAAATGAAATTGAACCTCAAGTCTGACAAATTATGTATAACTCTATAATGAAAAGACTAAACCATATAATACGTCCCATATATTTGGGCAAAAAAACACATATTTGTCCAGTATTTTTGAAAACACACATTTTTCGTCTCATTTCATCCGAAAATTTGAATTTCACAACTTTTTACGTCTCAAATCACTATTCTGTAGAACATGCGGGTAAAGGACATGGGTATTTTCAGTAGTTTGGCCGGGTTTGTTCTAATTAAGAAATAAAGTAATAATTAAATCATAATAAAATGAATTAAAATATTTTTTAATTTCAAAACCCCTAAAAATAGAAACAATTTCTTGTTACTTTTACCTTGTGGAGTCACGATAATTTAATTTTGTATTTTTTGCCTACAGTAAATTCTAAATATAATATAAAAACTTCAAAAATTGAAAAACAATTTGAAAGTCTAAAAATTTGGCTCCATAAATCTTGTGAAGCCCACTGCAAACACAAAAATTTGTTTACTAGTAAATCCTAATATTAATTATATTAAATAAAATTTTCTTTTTTGTCGAAAAAGTACTTAAATCAATTTAAAGTTGTGAAATTCGGATTTTGAGACAAAATGGGACAAAAATTTGTGTGTTCAAATCTAGGGGACAATTTTTTTTTTTTTTTTTTAATGCTGAAATGTATATGACGTTTTCTAAATTCGAACAATATTGTTGAAAAGAAAAATATTCGAAATCCTACCTTACATCTAATCAAAACGATGTCGCTTCTTATTCAAAGTCTCTTATGCATAAATACGCAGACTACAACTTGCTCTCTCAATTCCACCGTTTCCCCCTAATTTCTTAGCCCTTTGCAGTTTGCACACAGGAAGTTCTTCAATTGATTTGAAAATTTCAGGAAGACACGAGCATTCTTCCATCAAGATTGAGTCTTCATTAGGTAATCCTCATCGTCTTGTAATGTGCAAGTGCAATCTGTTATGAATTCCTGGTCTTTTAAGTAGCGATTTTGTTCGGTTTCTTATTCAAGTAATCGTGATTCTGGAGTGAAATATAGCGTGGAAAGCAGCAATTTCGAACATGGGGTTACTTTTTAATGTTCATATGATGACCCCTTAAATGATAAAGGGAGTTCTTTCGACTAGGACTCTTTGGCTTAGTTCATATGGATTTCCCATGTGGGATTGTAGGCTTTTGTCGATTGGTTTATCATCGATTTTATGTTATTTTATTTTATTGGGGTTTATTTTCACTGTTGAAAGGTGCTTCTTTGATCGTAGGGTGTCCGTTCGTGCTTTAACGGAAGGATCTGTGGTTTTAGTTGTAGAAGTTAATCTAACAGGATTTGTTCTGAATTCTGAGTGTGCTTATTTTCACTTTAGAAGTTCTTTCAATTGTGTGGATGAATGTGCCTTTTAAATTTGTTTAAAAGAATCCCGATATAAGGTCATTAACTCCAGTTCTAAGCTTAATATCATATGTTTGTGATACAAAAATAGCCTTTGAAGGAATGTTCCTCCATGCATTTCATTGTTAAAGTGTTCGCTTTTGAAGAATTGTTCTTGTTAGATTAAAGGGTCAAACATGGGATTTTCTCAATGAGCTATTTTAGAATTGGTTTTGTAATACATTGTGCTCACTTGTTTTCCAGTTTGTCTATCTCATTCTGAAACCATACACATGCTTCCAGACCATAAGTTTTTACTGTTCAGATTCTTTTACGAAATTCAAGTTGATGCATGTGCCCACACTGATGTTCTCTTCCCTTTGTAACTTAGCTGAAATGTTAATCCAGGATTTAGTTTTCTTTTTTTCCATTCTTTAGACATTTGTGGTCATATGCTCTTCTGGCTGGACTAATTTATTTATTGTATCTTTGTATTTGCTGAATTCTCTAGGCCGCAGCTATCTTGGCAAAACATTTGGGATTGTCCTCTTAAAATGATTGATTTGCTTCTATCTGATGCTACTGGGGGCAATGGTGGGAGTGAAAAGTTTGTCGAGAAGCGAAAGGCACTTCTTAACGAACTGGAATCACATTTATGGTCATTAATGACTGCAGGAGGCCGGTCGGAAATACGACTCTGGCTTTGCAACACAATTGCATGCATACGTTCGATCTTTCCCATTCATCAGTGTGAGCTATTCATGAAACTGCTGAAAACATCCAGACAGAAGCGTCGCTTAGCAGCCCAGCTTCTGGAATTGCTTTTTGAAAAGCAGCCGCAAAAAGTGGGGCCTATTGTTGCCAAGAAAAGTTTTATGCTGGAGAAGTTTTTCAAGGGTAAGTCACTTTGATATCGATCAATTCAAATCGAACTCAAACAGTTTTATTTTCTTAGAGGGAATTGCCACTTTTACATTATGCGAAGATTATGCTCTTATACTCTTAAACATACACGGATATCCACTGAATGGAAAATGGTCATAAAGACATGTAGGAAAATAAGTACAGTGGAGAAAACAGTGTGGCAATCAAATTCTACCTTGTCGTATTTTGAATGTTTAATGCTGTATGTACTACTTCATTGATTTCATGGAACAAGTATCAGCTGAAATATCTGCCTCTTTGTTTTTAAATCCAGGAAATTCAAAACGTATTTTGGCCTGGTTCTCCAATTTTGCCGGACCCAGTGGAGTGGAACATAAAAAGGGAGCAAAAGCATTATCTCAATTTGCTTTCAAGAACCGAGACGTATGTTGGGAGGAGCTAGAGTGGAGAGGAAAACATGGACAGTCACCAGCAATGGTTGCTACAAAACCTCATTATTTTCTTGATTTGGATGTTGAGAAAACAGTGGAGAACTTTCTCGAGTACGTTCCAAACTTTTGGGCATCCACTGAATTCTCTGAGTCTTTGAAGGATGGGGAGATTGTGCATGTTGATAAAGAGTTTTTTGTTGAGATGTTTCTCAATTTGATGTACAAGGAGGACATGGAAGAGCTATGGGATATCATAGATGAATTTCTCACTGGTGAATCTTTCTCTTTTCTTTGCCATCACCTACTCATCGTTCTCGAAGAGCAAGATTTGTTATATTTCCTTAATACAATCCATAAATTTCTCAAACCAAGTCTGGAAGTTACAGCCCTTGGGAATCCTTCATTTTGGCTTGAAGTTGTCCTTTCAAAATGCAGCATTGTTTCAGTTGATCAGCTATTCCTGTTAAATGCAGTAACTAGTCAAGCTCGTCAGCTTCTGCGACTTGTCCGTGAAGAAGCTGATGAAAATGAAAAAGAGGAAGTCAAGAGTATTGTTACGCAGGTTTGCTCTTCTTCAGGTCCGGCTGACAATTTGGCTCCAATCATGGACGAATGGCCCAAGAACAGAAATTTAGAGTCAATAAAATGGTTGGGATTGCAGTCTTGGGCTATCTTTTATAGGTTGTCCGAGGGATTTCACACTTCTGAGTCCTGGGAGTCTTTATTTGCCAGCAATGGCATAGGTTTTCGTAAGTCTCACAAGTATGATTTGATTGATCTTGTTGAAGATTCAGAAGATGGTGGATTTGAGTGGGAAGAAAGGTCATTGGATAAAGTTAAGCGTAGAAAGAAAGAAAGACGCTCAACGAAAAGGAGAAGGAAACTTAAGTCAAAACAGAGTCTGGATGCATTGCTGGATTTTGATTTTCCGGATAATACAGGTTCATGGCTGCTTTCCACTGATCAGTTTTCTGCTACATGGAGTGCTGTAAGTTAATCCTCATTCTTTATTTAATTCTTGAACTCTGGGAAATATTTCATGAAATGCTATTCTCTTTTTATTCTTTCATTTTGCCATTCCTGCATACTAATTCTAGAGTTCCAGGGCTGATCATACGGATACTATTTGGCAAATGGCTTATAGAAACACTTGCGTTATTTGCAAGAACATTTTGTTTTCAAATAAATTATAATTGTGCAAGGAATCATTAATGTTGAAAAGATCTGCTTAAAAATTTTGAGTGTGCATTGAATTATGTAAATCTGTCTGAGCTTTTGGTCTTAGTCATCAAAGCGTTTGAAAAAGCCTCTACTTTGGATGATTCCTTTGTTTTGATGTTATTCATTATCATATATTGTAGGTAGACCTCCCAGAACACATATCAAAGCATTGTTTTTCCACATGGATAAAGTTATCCTCTAAGGAAGCTAGAGATACTTGATTCCCTGAGTTTCCTTTAGGTCCCGCGTTTGCTGAAAACGTTACCAGCTACTGATTTCATCTCATTTGCTGCAACGAGTGAACATGAAGGTTTGTTGAATTGGAGTGTGTCCCTCATATTTGCATATTTTAATTAGTTAGTGTGATTCTAATTTAGCAATTATTGCTTTTCATGTGAAGGTTATCTAGTGGGAGGGAAGACTGAAGAGTACCCTGAATCCTCTTCCTCTTCTCAGTGCCGGTTTGAGATTTATGGATTCTACATGGTGCAAACCGTACGTCTCTGTGTTCTCTTTATTTTTCCGTTTAGAATGGTTTCTTGCAGTCTTGCGCTACTCAATAATAACCGTATCTAGATATAGAGTGTTAAGTGTTTACTCAATGAAAAGCTTACTGCCCTGCAAAAATCCATATCTTTTCTGTTGCCAAGATATTTAAGAAATCTTGGCTTCATGCCCTGACCCTACTTTGTTACTGCAGCTAAAGAAGGGCTTTTCGATTGGTTATCATGGATTTCTTAGGCATCCCATTGAAATTGGTTTTGTTCATGCAATAGAGTTAGCTTCTCAACATGCTGAATTTCCTCCTTCCGTTTGAAGTGGGAAAGCTGCTACTATATTCATCATATCCACTGGATGGATGCTGCTACACCTGGGAAATTGAGAATCTTTGTGCAATCTAAAGGTGAATTTGTGGAAGGCTTTCAAGGGTTAATACTGAGAAACTTTGGTTTGGAAATATTGGAATACGTGTCCTAAGCTCTTGCAATAAAATGTTATATCGCTTCTGCATTATATGGAAGTGCACAGATTGAAATAGCTTTCTTAATGTGCTCTTCAGCTTTCTTCCAGTTCATAAACTCCATATAAATAATCCCAAGGATCATTCTCGCGAACCTCTTATTCATTGCATTATTTTTTTTTTTACAGATTGAAATAGCTTTCTTAATGTGCTCTTCAGCTTTCTTCCAGTTCATAAACTCCATATAAATATTCCCAAGGTTATGATGAAACCTACTACGACTATCATCATTCTCGCCAACCGATTGTTCATTCTCGGAGTAGGCTTCATCATATCCTTGGAAATATTTATATGGAGTTTATGAACCGGAAGAAAGCTGAAGAGCACATTAAGAAAGCTATTTCAATCTGTAAAAAAAAAATAAAAAATAATGCAATGAACAAGAGGTTGGCGAGAATGATGATAGTCGCAGTAGGCTTCATCATAACCTTGGGATTATTTATATGGAGTTTATGAACTGGAAGAAAGCTGAAGAGCACATTAAGAAAGCTATTTCAATCTGTATTATATGTAAATGATGGTGTAGGGTTTTCCTTTTCTTTTTTCCAAGGTCACAGATGGTTTTTCGGAGGTCTGAAATCTGTCATTCAATCAAGAACCTGCAGAATAACTTCAGATATTATAGGAAAAGCTGTAACTTTAAAATCTCAAAATCCAATTATTATTTTCTGCAAATAGCTTAGAAAAAGAAAATAGAACTAACAATATCAGCCACTTTACAGCATGGAGTGATGTCGGAGTAACCTTAAAACAGATCTGATAGCATGCATTTTGTCTTGATCAAACTTCTGGAATCCAGGACTACTTGTCCCATCATTGTTCATGAGATTTACCCCCAACATCATCTATGTGACTCAAGTGCTTCAAACTGACATCGGGAGCACAAGATGCCCAGAGATGGTTCACTGAAAACACGAAATCCTGCTTCTAATTCAAAATCTTCTTTCCAGTGGAATACTTCTTCGTCATCATCATGATAATGAGAGCTCTTTGTTTTCTTCTTTAAGAGCTTGAGAACAAATAAATATGTACGTTCTTTCACCTTTTTTTAATTTGATCAACAAGCAAAATAGGTGATCTGAAGGGATTTTCTTTCAACTCTCAGAAATTCATAAACTAGAAATTGGTCATCATCTACCTGAAAAGGCACTTCTCGAATAAGGTACTCTGGCAAAATTTGAACTACTCCCTCGGCCTAAAAAAATAATCCACGTTGAGTTTTGAGTTTTGTATTACTATTTTGAATAAAAATTTGAAAATTCAATGTGGACTTTTTTTTTGGGACGGAGGTAGTATATGGGAGCCACCCGAAAAGCCAATATTCCTCAACGTATAACAATCCGCTTATGAAAACTAAGGTCCGCACGTAAAGTCAACATCATATACTGATCGCTTTGCAGTATAAATACAAGAATATGTTTAACTAGCAACTTTCTTAAACTCTATATCTATTTGTGCGTATTTTCCAGGGGGTAAAAAACAGTCCTCCCACGAAAAGTTCATCAGGATCAACACACGGTTGTAGGATTACAAAGACAAATTAATCACAGACCCACGAGTTCATGAATTTTACGGATTTGTAACTTTCGTGACTGATCAACCAACCATAAGAAGAACTAGCTACTATCACTTACTCCTTTTTAAAATGGTGTTTGTTGAATATTTTAACACAACACATATGAAACGTATTTTTTATTTGAAAATTGTGATTATAGAGTTGTTTTAAATAAAAATAGAAGAATTACTGTATGCAAGTCTTATAACTGTTTCACCAAATTAGTGAGTTCTTGTTAAGGGTCATGTGGTAAAGATTGTGAATCCTACGTCGGAGATATGAGGATATGTGAATCACTTCATAAGTAAGGTGGACTCAAAATCCATTAGTTTGAGATTTTCAGTTTAAATGGGTCTTATCTTATTTATTGGGTTACATGCCGGGTTTTCTCTTCCGGATAAATTTCCAACAGTGGTATCAGGGCCTAAGTTGGACCAGTTGAGTATGTGATTTAGCCCAAATTATCTTGGTTGATCTGACTGAACCCAGACAGTCAAAGGCCCACTACGAGCGGAAACGTAAGGTTGGACGGCGTAATTACTCACGTAGAGCATAGATTTAAGGTTGTTAAGATAATTTGGAAGCTTGATGTAGAGATTGCCCATGATGGAGGAGAATGTTGAGGGTTATGTGGCAAGGATTGTGAATCCCATATCAGAGGAATGAGAACATATGAATCAATTAATAAGTAAGGTGGACTCAGAAACCATCATCTTGAACTTTTGAATTCAGATGGGTGGGTACATGTTGGGTTTTCTCCTCCGGATAAATCCCAGACAGTTCTCCGCAGCCAAAGAAAGATATAGGGAATCTAGCTAGCTGCCGACCCTCAAAAATAGGCAGAGTTTAAGTCAATATGAAGGCAAAAAAAAAGAAGACAAATTAGGAAACAGGAAGAATCAGATGTGCAACAAAGTAGGAGGAAAGAGCCTGAGAATTGGGTGTATTTAATCTCTATCCATAATTAACAGGATAACACGTTTTTTTTTAAAAGAAAAAGTAAAGCATTAACTTGAGCAGAAAAATTTACAAGTCTAAAACTCTGGTAGGATTACTCTCGGTATGATATGTATCCTCTTACAATTAGTTAATGATTCTTAGGTTAATTAGTGGAGGGGGCTAAGGATCGAATTTCGAATGTCTACTGGAACTTGAATTTGTGCATCAAATTTTATTTTATTTGTTCTTTTTTAGGTAAAACTATGGGAAAAATATAACGCAGTTTCATCTTATTCATGAAATGTAAGGTGCATGCTAGATCTGAGGGTGGTTTTTTGAGATAGAACTCTTTAACAATTCCTAGATTCATTCCCACCTATTTCTCCCTCCCAAAAAATCTAACTTAAATATTTCATACGTAAATAATTTTCGCAAAGTGCCCTAATCCTACTTTCTTGCCTTCCTTTTCTTCCTAGATTCATCGTTTTCTTCTTCTTCTTCTTCTTCTTCTTTTGTTTTTCTTTTCCTACTTATTAATTTCTTTAAAAAATATTGGATGATAACATGTTTTGCGACCAAGGCGAGACTGCTGAAGGGCAAGGTTGGGACAATAGTTGTGATGATGTCCGCAATCACAACAACGTTGTTTGGAACAATATTATTGATGATGATGTTCGATATGTTCTTCTTCATCCTGCTGATTATTCTTCGAGTAATACTAATAATTCTGAAGAATCTCATCATCCTCATCATCAAAACCCTCTTTTTCATCCTTCACCACCACCTCGTTCTTCTTCCTATTTTGACCAAGGAGTTGACCATTATGGAACTCCGGATCAAACTAGAATCAAAAGAATCAAGTATTCGCATCTGTCTCCTCTAGATGTCAACCAAAACCACAAGGTAGCTAGGGTTTTTAGTTTTCATTTTTTCAGATTCACAATCAGATCGACATTTCCAGTATCACTTAATTTTGCATAATCCGTCCTCTAAAAAAAATGAGACATTTTTTTTTCTTAAAAAAAAACTTAATTATTAATTAACAATAGAACTAAGAGGAAAATTTTTCCTATTTTATTTTTGGCATGAAGGCAGTACAAGTATAAAAATATTCGTAAATGCCATTTCCTTACATTTTTCACAAAATAGTGTTTTTTCTTATATTGGGGTTTTTCTTGATATGTTTATATGTTTATTTTGTAGTTAAAGGATGATCAGGAGATTGAGAGTCATGAAGAATCAACAAGTTCACTGGGATTGAAACTTAAGAAGTCACCCTCTCTTATTGACTTGGTGGAAAGGAGGTTGTCTCAAGGAGATTGTTCTAATTCTAACAGCCCTGACAATAATCATAATAACAAGAGGCCGAATTCGAAATCCACCCTTGATTATGGATCTCTCCCTATGTCAGAGAAATTGAAGGCTTCCAATTTCCCCGCATTGTATTTGAAAATCGGCAACTGGGAGGTAACATATTTATTCATCCAATCGTTAACATGTTTTTTTTGTTTCTATAAAATAGTCTATTTCATTTTCGGTTGAACGATCTAAAAAGTCTTGCTGATTTACTAAAAAGATAAGGAAGATCTTTTTGTTTTATTTTGGCAGAGAATCTCCCAGAATGAAGGTGATTTGGTGGGAAAATGCTACTATGCTAAGAAGAAATTGGTTTGGGAAATTTTAGAAGGGGCACTCAAGAGTAAGATTGAAATTCATTGGAGTGACATCATTGGCATTAGGGCAACTATGGTCGAAGATGAGCCGGGGACTCTAGAAATTGAGGTCATTATATTTTTTAAAGAAAAAATTAGTTCTTTTTCTTTCTTTTTTATTTTTATTTTTGGATTCATCATTACGTTGTAATAATACATTTGAAAATTTTTGTGCAGTTGGATCAGCGACCTTCATTTTTCAAAGAAACCAATCCACAACCCCGTAAGCATACCCTTTGGCAACCAACCGATGATTTTACTGGTGGTGAAGCACTTATATATAGGTACGTACATATATTATTATTATGTACCTATTGCACTATTTGATGCTTTTCATTGATTAAATAATATAAACTATAGATTATAATATTTTTTTTCCTTTTCTTTTTTCCTGATTTATTAGGAGACACTATGTGAAATTTGCACCAGGAGCTCTTGACAAGCACTATGAGAAGCTCTTGCAATGCCATCCAACTTTATCATCAATAAGCCAGAGGCCATTCCCAACTCAACCATCTCCTTATTTTAGGAGCCATAATAATGCATATGATTTACCATCCGGTTTCATTTCGCATGGGTGGGGATCCCATCTGAACCCTACTTGGATACCACCAAATCAACTAGATCTTTCGAATTTACGATGGTCAGGTATCATATTCTACATTTTACACTATACTCACTCCGTCTCAATTTGAATAAATATACTAATAATTACTCACTCTGTCCCAAATATTGTCCAGTTTTCACTAAAAATAAAAATCTAAACTAGACAATAATTTTGGGACAGAGAGAATACTTATTTTTTAGATTGTTTTTTGTGTTCATATCTTTAGTTTTACTAAAATAATATGTGATCAAACCGAACTTATTTAGGTTTGGATCAGTATACAGCGGCAGCATCTTTGAACAATATGATGGTGGCGGAAAATGGAACAACACCAGTTATCTTTCCAAACAATTTCCTCCCATATGAAGGGTTGAGGAGAATAGTACCACCGGTTGCGAGTATTGGTCCGCATGGTTACATTGAGAATCACAAGTTATGCGACAATCAGATGATCTGTTCGGGTGAAGATATAATCACACAACAAGATCACATGAGGTCGAGGCAACAACATCCTTTAGTACTTCATGACCAGCTACAAATGGCGAACATGAGGGCGGCCGCCCCCGGAGGGATGATATTGCAACAAGTGATGGTGCCAGAAAATGGTTCTTGTGATCATACTTTGGTGAGCTTACATGGGCAACATGATTATAGAAATATTTCTCAGCAGCAGCCATTGATGAATTGGGAAATTGTTGAAAACTTGAGATTACAACAAGCAAGCATTAGGGGTTCACACTATTATGACCAATATCATTAATAGATGTGACGCATTTGATATGATCCGAAATTTTGATAGTTCTGCGGAACATTATTACGTTCAGTGTCGAGAAGGAATAATATCTAAACAATCTATAGAATAACATTGTTAAGTTTAGATTTAGGGTTCAACATACTATAGAATAATATCTAGTTATTGAACTAGTTGGATGGTTATCACCAAATTAGGATTGGCGTGAAGTCCTGTCATGAATCAAAATTTTCTTCCACTTTCCTAAACACTTTCGGTTAGTGCAAGGGCCAGTTTTCATTTTCTTTAGGGAACAAATATCAGTTGAAAGCTCTGGCCTATTAATCTTACATGTAAGAAATATCTCAAATTTTGCCGGACCCTAAACGTTATCTCAGTTTGTTTTCTCGAGAGGAGGAGGTAGAGCGAGAGAAAAGCATGACCAGTGACCAGCTACGGTTGTAACAAGAAAATCAACATTTTCTTGATTTGGATGTCAGAAAACAGAGTATTGACATATTGATAAGTCATTTGTTGATACGTTTCAATTTTTTGATATGAAAGGCGGACATGGAAGGGCCAAGGACCGAATATTATAGATGAATTGCTTAATATGATCCATTAATCTCAAACCAATTCCGGAAGTTACAGCTCTTGGAAATCCTTCATTTTGGGTTGAAGTTATCCTTCCAAAGTAAAGAGAAAATGAAAAGAAAGTAAAGAGAATTGTTTCGCAGCTTCTTCAGCCTACAACTAAAGAAAGAATGGTCTGAGACCAGAAACACAGAGTCACGAAAATGGTTTGGATTTGCAGTCTTAGGTGATCATTTTTATAGGGAATTCACACTTCTGAGTCCTAGGAGTCTATTCACGGCAATATCATGCATTTTCAAAAGTCTGACAAGTATTGTTTGCTCCATCTTGTGGGAGATACAGAAGATGGTGGATTTAACTGGGATGAGAACAGGATGAAGCTAACCATACAAACAGATGAAGGCACACGATGAGAAGCAGAAGGAAGCTCGTATCAAACCAGAGTTTGAACTATACCATTAGATAAACATTTCAATCCCTTGAAACAACAGTAACATTGCGGAAATCCAAATGACAGATGCATAGCAATGGCCATTGAGACTATCATCTGTCCACTTAAATTGCCTTAGAATGAATAATAAACTAATAAACTCTCCCCTTAAAAAGAGACACAAAGGAAATGCAACAAAACTCTATTCCCAAAACAAAACAAATATCAACAACATCACATCCATTGGCTTTTAAAAGCAAAATCACTGATGGTAAATAGATAAGAACAAAGCATTACAGTCTTTGTAAGATTCAAAACATAGTGCTTCTGCTAAATAAAAGCTACTTGAAAAACAGAGTCATCAACTGAAAAATAACCAAAATCCAAGCTTCCTTTCTACATTTCAACAAAACCTGCTGTTTCTTTTCATTAGAGAAGATCATCAAAGAAGCAACCATTAATCACCCTTTCTCCTGAAAGAACACCCCTCAGTGAGTCTAGCGCGTCCACCAGTTGGCTGGCACAAGACAGTCTGGCAATTTCCACATACCACCACAGTCTGGGAATGGCTAAACACGGTGGTTCTGCACATCCAGAAGACATTATAAGTGGGACGCAACACCAAAGAGCAGGATAACCAACATACTTCAAACAATCAGGCGACAAAACAATGTCATAAAATCATCCAACTAGCAGCACGGATCGCATTTAGGAAGCTATCCCATAAAACCAACATAAAATTCTATTCTTCAAAGTACATATTAATAATAAGAAAAAAAAACCCATAAAAAGGGCCTCCTTACAGCAAAAAACATAGTTCTTCAGTAGAGACAAACGATTGCATGATTACAGCAAAACGGATGGACAATAACAATTACCAAGTAAGAGCAACTTCAAATGAAAACTGAAGTATAGCTAAACCAACAATGTCAAGGGCAGAACAATGCAACCAGCAACAAATAGTATCTAACAAATCAACAAAGCTCAAAGAATGGATCAAATTGCAGCAAAAGAAGAGGGAATCAACAAAAGATACTCTCGAAAACATGAACAATTGCACAATTACAGCAAAACAGAGGGAATATAAGTACGAGCAATTTCAAAAGTAGTCCAAAGAAGTATATTATAACTTACATGTTGAAGCATCCTTGACACTTCACATCCTGCAATAATAACGACGAAACAGCAAAATCAGCGAAAATAGGTTTAATTGAGGATGCTAATAAATTGAAAATGAACAGATGAACCGCGAATTTAATAAAGAGAATACAAGTACCATGAAGAAGGAGTTTGGAGAAGGAACCAAACGCTTGAGCTTGTGCTTCCTCTTCTCCAACTCCGCCGGCGGGTTGAGCAAATCAACGTCGTTTGGAAGAACCTGTGGAAGAAACCACCGCCAAAAAAATGATAAATAAACGAACAATTAAACAAACATCGCTAAAATTCAAGAAAAGATTCGTAGAAAAACACATACCATCTTTCGATTTGATGAAGAAAACGGTGGCTGAAATCACAGAGGGAAGCGAAGGCGGAAGTGGAAGAGCAAGCAGATTTGGTCTCGCCGGAGAAAAGGAGGTTTGTGGGGTTAGGGTTTTGCGGCCTTTTTATAACTCTTTCTGAGGTTAATATGAACCGTTAGATGTCACTTATATGGTAAGATTCAATCTTGACCCTCCGTTTACTTTGGAGGGTTAAGATTATCTTTTCGACTTTCAGTTTCCCCCTAATTTCTTAGCCCTTTTACTGAGATATACAGAGGAACTTCAAAATTGGAGCTGAATCACTGGCAGAAACGAGCATTATGCCATCAAGATTGCTTCTCATAAGGTATCCTTCATCCCCGATTTTAAAATGTGCCGTACAATTTTGGATATGGGTTTTCTTTTTTCTGTTCAAATGATGTCTTCAATGATAAATGAAGTTTCTTTACTCATTGTCTCATTGGATATGTAGTTCATATGGATTTCCCATTGGGGATTATCTTTGTAATCGGATCATGCCTTTTTGATGGTTATTTTATGAGAAAATTATTTTTTGGTTTCTGAAGTTGGATTTCTATGTTCGGTATAATTTATCTTAACCGTTGAAAGGAATTTCTTTGATCGTGGAGTGTCCATTTGAGCTTTTATTGAAGGATGTTTGCGTTCAGTTGTTGAAGTGTACATGGTTTCACTTTAAAACCTCTTTCAATTGTGAGGTTTAGATTTAATTTGGGGTACGCCCATCCATAGTTTTAATTTCTAAAGTTCAGTTTTAAGCTCAATAGTTAAATCAAATTTTTCGTTTAGAAATGAGCATCCGTGCTTGCTTTGTTAACTTGTGAGCTTTTGAAGACAGGTCTCAGTTTTCTGATTGTGGTGTCAATCTTCTCTGATCAGTTATTTTCGAAATTGGTTTACTCTACGAGAGTTATGTTTCTGTGTCAGATGCTTTGTGCTCACGGAAAATTGGGAAGTCAGTTTTCATATTTGTGTAATCATTTGTGAACCGTAGACATTCTTCCAGACCATTGGTCTTTACTGTTCAGATTCTTTTGCAAAATTCAAATTAATGTATAAGCAGACCATTAGTGATCTCTTCCATCTGAAACTTAGCTGAAATGTCATCCAGAATGATGTTTCTCTTTTGGTGCCATTCATCAGTCATATAAAAGCTCTTCGAGGTCAATTAATTTATTTCCTATTGTGTCTTTGTATGTGCTAAATCCCCTGTAGGTCGCAGTTGTCTTGGGATATTTTGGAGTTGTCCTCTGAAATTGATTGGTTTGTTTCTATGTGATTCTACTGTTGGAAAAGATGGGAATGAAACATTGTTGGAGTAGAGAAAAGTGCTTCTTTCTGAGCGGCAGGAGTTCGGTCTGAAATGTGGCTCTTGCTTTGCAACATGGTTGGATGAACAAGAACATTTTCTCCCATCCATCAGTGTTGAAAACAGCCAGTCAGAACTGTTGCTTGGCTGCCCAACTTCTGGAATTGCATTTGAGAAATCAAACGCAAAGGAGAAAGGCCTATTATTTGTTTTCGAAAAAGAATTTTAAGCAGGAGAAGCTTTTGAAAAGGTAAGTTAACTGGATTCATATAAACCGTCAAACTTTAAAGTTTTGTTTTTTGAGAGTGATGTATCATTATCATCTGCACACTGGGTGTTTTTCCGGCCTTGTAATTGGTTCTCAAGTTTAAGACTTGTCCTGAAGTTTTCTCACTGGAGATTTCCCATTTGAACATTTGCCTTTAGAAGATTATGCTCTTTCACTCTTAAATTTGTATGAATATCCACTGTATGAATACTGGCCTGAAAGACATACTAGGCAGCACTGAGTTATCTAATTGGTGGAATTCAAACTCTTACATTGGCTTTTTGAATGTTGTATGTTGTATATACTTCATGTTTCATTATGTATTGTTAAATGCAGGAAATCCAAAACTTATTTTGGCTTGGTTCTCCAATTTGGTAGGGCATGGTGGACTGGAACACCAGAAGGTTGCAAAAACATTATCTCAATTTGTTTTCTAGAACTGAGACATAGTTTGGGAGGAGCTAGAGTGCAGAAATAAACACGGCCAGTCGCCGCCATGGTTGCTGCAAAGCCAAATTATATCCTGATTTGGATTTAAGGAAACAGTGGAGGATTTTCTTGAGTATGTTCCTGACTTGTGATCATCCGCTGAATTTTCCGAGCTTTTGAAGGATGGGGAGATTTGTACATATTGATGAAGAGCTGTTTGTTGATATGTTTCTCAATTTGACGTGAAAGGAGGACTTGGAAGAGCTATGTGACATCATAGATGAATTCCTCACTGAGAAAACCTTATCCTTTCTTTGCCATCACCTAATCGTCACTCTCAAAGTGAAAGATTTGTTATATTCCCGAAATATGATGCATAAATCTTTGAAACCATGGCTGAAAGTCATTGCACCTCTGAAATGCTTCACTTTGGCTTGAAGTTATCCTTTCAAAATTTCACATGGTTCAAAATGCCATTCATTTTGACATTCCTTTTAAATG